TTATGTAAGGAGAATGTAGGCAAGCCCAGTCAACTCGCAGGCTGGATTTCCATGCATTGTACACTGCAGAAATTCTGGGCAGAGCTGACCTTGTATAACTCTGAGTGTTAATAAGGCATTTGAGCTGTATCATCAGATGCTTGTCACTGGGTCATTAAGGCAACTCAAACTATTTCACATCTGGAGTATCCAAGTTACTCTGTGTTTTTAGAATCACTGTGAAACACATGGGAGTATTTTTTTTTTTTTAATATGTTGATCATTGGGGTGGAGAACCAGTGACAAAACACAGACTAGTAAGCACTCTCAGACAGCGTTTTATCTTCTAAAAGGTAAGATGAACTTATAATTATCTCATTTAAAACTATTAGCAATGAAGAGCCTGGCAGGTTTCTGGTAGGGAAGCCAGGAGTTGTATTTGGGTTTGTGTGACTACCGGCATTTCTGCTAGTTCTACGCCCCAACCAAAATTTTCCCCATCACCCTTTCTTGCAATGATCTCACCCTGCTCTGAATTCCTAAAATGCTTGTTTTCTGTCTCAACATTCCATTCATTTGACATTCAACACTAATTTGCTGGGTCTTCATATGAGGAAAAGTACTTGTTAAGCTCTAATATACCAAATAAATAAATGTTAATTATTATGTTATTGTGTCTGTGCATATATCACTGTGTGTGTGTTGTGTGCTCACTCGTGTCTGACTCTTTGTGACCCTTTGAACTGTAGCCAGCCGGGCTCCTTTGTCCCTGGGATTTTTCAGGCAATAATACTGGAGTGGGTTGCCATTTCCTCCTCCAGGGGATCTTCCGGACACAGGGATTGAAGGTGCGTCTCCTGGGTCTCCTACATTGCACGCAAATTCTTTACCACTGAGGCATCAAGGATGCCCATATTAGTGTGTACATATATAAAATATATACATATAAGTATACACTATACCTATATGTGTGTATATGTATGTACAGCTACAGTTTTATAGTTATTACTTGTTTGGCTCTTGTTTTCCCTTGACTAGACTATAAACTTCTGGAGGCCCGTTTATCCATCTGTCTGTCTTCTGCTTCTCACGACTGGATCACATTTGACAGTCAATCTACTGATGACCCGAGTGCAGAGAATAGCCTCCATCATTTCTGTGACCCTCGGCCACTTATCTCCACCGCCCTCTTGTGTCCTCTGGGCCACTTCTGGGAGGACTGGATGAGATAATGGGCGCAGAGCACCCTGGATTGGTTGGTTCCATGTGGCCTGTGAGAGAAAAAACTCAACGGCTTAGTTCCCCCTTCAACCTCTTGTCTTCCTTTTCGCAGAAGTTTGGGTCATGCATGTGATTAGAAATACATTTCCCTTTTTAAGTAATAGGTTTCTGAAGAAGTAGTTTCTAGACCTCTGAATTGGGTGGTATGAGACATCATCTAAGGAGGACAGGCTGAGGATGACTGCTTTAAAAGTACTGAAAGCAAATGAAAGCCATTTGCCATCACTGAACATTTTCACAGGGCAGCATTTTTCCTTCTCTCACTCTACTCGCCATCTAGCCCAGTGCTGTCCAATAGAACTCCGTGATGTTGGAAATGCACTGTATCTGTACTTTCTGATATGGTAACCACTGGCCACCTGAGGTTATTGTATGCTTGAAGTGTGGCTGATGTGAATGAGGAACTGGATTTTAAATTGTACTTAATTTTAATCAGTTGAAATTTAAATAGCCACATGCTACCATATGGGACAGCACAGGGCTAAATTAAGATAATCTGGTTCTTTTTGTTCATTTATTCATTCATCATTCATCCAAAATCTTTTGAGTTCTGAAAATAAGTTAGGCACAGTACTCAGCCCCCACAGGGGCTTCGGTGGTTAGTCTCTTATCTGAAAGATCTCAACATTTGTTTGAGGAAATGATCTTTTGAGATGAACTTAAGACTTTCATGTGTCTTCTGGCTATACCACGTCCTCCTGAGAAAAGTAGCTGGAGGTATCTTAGGCTTGGGTCACCCTGCAGATGTCCTTACCTCCCCCACTTCTCCTGCTGGGTTAGGATCTTTGCCCTAGCTAGACACATTTCCCAAGGGCTGGCAAGAGGCCAAAAATATAACCAGAGGTGACAGTGCCCAACACGGCTGCCCAACAAGGTTGTTCTACCTTGGGGCATGTGTGCATAGCCCATTCAGAGTTTGAAAGTGAGACCCAAGCAAGGAGGCAGACATGAGAGCAGCATGAAACCCCAAAGACACAAAGAGCCAGGGCAGTGAGCCAGGCGATCGTGTTAATAACGAGGACTGTTGAGAGGCAGGGAAGCATAGAGTTTGGCTGCTTTGTCTCTGGAGCCAAACTTCCTGGAACTCAACGCCAGCTCTAGCCCTCGCGGCTGTGCAGTTTCTGTGCTGTCTCCTCGTCTATGAAATGGATATTGTAAAGGCCTTCTTCTGAGACTTACCACGAAAATTAGATGAACTAGAACATGAAATTGAACCCGAACATGGAACTGACTCTCCAGCTTGCACTCTCTGATCGATGTGGTACAATGCTGGATTGTAGGATGAGCTAGAGTTTGAATCTAACTCCCACTATGTAATCTTGAGAAAGTGAACTGCCTTATGGAACCTCTCAGTTTCCTCTTCGGTAAAATGAGGAGAGAGACAACGATGACAGTGGGGGTTTGTGAAGGTTTAATGGATTGATTCCTCGGTAGTGCTCAGGACAGTGCCTGGAGGCACTTTATACTCTGTCCCGGGGAGTGCAGAGCCCTGTGGTAGACACAGAGGCTGGGGAGAGCTACTGAACCACAGCGGGGTCTGGGAGGCCGCCGGGAGGCAGGAGGTGCTCCTGGAGCTGCTTCAACAGCAGGTTGGGCCTCGAATCCACTGTGGCCTCCTGAGGACATGACAGGCATATCAGGGCGCAGCAGGTTCCGGCCCATCCCTGTCCCCTGAGGGAACCTGAGTGTGATCCTCTTCCCTGACAAGGAAAACATTTTCACTTGGCAGATCTGATGCAAGAGCTTACACCGGGGATGGTTTTTTTTTGTTTTTTTTTTTTTTCCGGGGATGTTTTGATGTAGTTTCTTAGAACAGCCCTGTCAGACTGTAAAATGGGTAATGATAGCCATTTCTTTCTTTCTTTCTTTCTTTTTTTTGCTGTACCCCACAGCATGCGGGACTTCTCTAATCAGGGGGACCAGGGATGAAACCCATGCCCCCTGGGTTGGCAGCATGGAATCTTAGCTGCTGGACCACCAGGGAAGCTTGGCCATTTCTTATAAAGTTAAATATATCCTGAGTTATACTACTCCTAGATATTTATTCAAGAGAAATAAAAACACATCTACAAAAAGAGTTGTATATGACTGACTACTCATGGCAGTTTTATTTAGAATAGCCAAAACCAAGGGGAAAAAAAAACACAAAAATGCCCATCAATGGTGAGTGAATAAGCCAACTATATCATACTATGAAATACTATTCAGAAATCAAAAGGAAAGAACTACTGATTCAACCAAGAAAATGGATGAATCACAGAAATACTGAGCAAAAGAATCTAGACACAAAAGAGTGCCTACTGTAGTTTTATTTATTTGACATTCTAGGATAGGCAAAACTACAGGCAGAAGTCAGATCAGTGGTCACTAGGGGCTAGGATTGAAGAGAGTATTGACTCCAAAGGGCATAAGGAACTTTCTGGGGCAATGGAAATATTCTATATCATGATGGTAGTGGCATTTACACAGCTATATGAGTATGTCAAAACTCATAAAACTGCATTCCTAAAAAGGATAGATTTTATTGTAAAAGAAGCTATATTTCAATATGTTGTTGTTGTTTAGTTGGTAAGTTGTATCTGACTCTCTTACAACTCCATTGACCGTAGCCTGCCAGGCTTCTCCATCCATGGGATTTTCCAGGCAAGAATACTGGAGTGGATTGCCATTTCCTTCTCCAGGGGATCTTCCTGACCCAGGGATGGAACCCAGGTCTCCTGCATTGGCAGGTGGGTTTTTTACCGCTGAGCCACCTGGGAAGCCATATCAATATACCTGGCATTGAAAAAATAGAAAACATAGGAAATTCCCTGTTGGTCCAGTGGTCAGGACTTGGCGGTTCCACTGCAGGGGGTTCAAGCTTAATCCCTGGTCGAGAACTAAGATTCCCCATGACACACAGTCCTTCCCCCCAAAAAAAGTATTATCATCAAGCACTACCAAATTCTCTGTGAAAGGATGGGAGTCATAGAGACAGGATGAGCACAATCCACAGGGATGGGGTGAGAATATCTTGTTTATACATTTATTACTGATTTTATTTATTTGACTACACCAGGTATTACTTGCAGCACTCGGGATCTTTGACCTTCGATGCAGCATATGGGGTCTTTAGTCATGGCATGGGAACTCTTAGTTGTGGCATGTGGGATCGAGTTCCCTGACAAGTGATCAAACCCAGGCCCTGCATTGGGAGCCCAGAATCTTAGCCACATGACCACCAGGCAAGTCCCATTTTTACTGATTTGCTTTAAATGTTGACAATTTAATAACTTTAGAAGGCCTTGTCAAAAGGTCCCTGGCATCAAAATGGCTGCATCACCATGCAAGTGCACTTCTAAGCAGTCAGAAAGATCTACAGACAAATGTCTATAATATACTATGTTTGATGCTTCAAGACATTTATATAAAAGTATTGTGGTCTGCACAAAGGAGTCACCAGTGGCGTTTTCTCAGGAGGATGGAGAGAAAACAGCATGTGTGAAGGGTCTAGTGGATAAAAGTCTGGCCTGAATGAGAAAAAGTACAAAATCATATATAGTGCCCTAGCTCAGGGTGCAGGGAAAGCAATGGCGGAGTTGAGAGAGAAGGCTGTAAAGCTGCCTGGATTCAGGATGGGAGGCCAGTGTCAGCCCCACCAGAGAGTTTGGACCTACTGAAGTCACCCACCCACAGACACTGGTTGGTCCAGTCCATCTTTTCTTTTCTTCTTTTTTTTTTTTTCCATTTATTTTTATTAGTTGGAGGCCATCTTTTCTTAAGAAAGCTCTGGGGAAGGAACAGAAGATGGAATGCAGGGAGAGGAGTTCGAAGTGTTCTCTGCTGCCCATCCTTGTCACCATTTCCATTGAAATGAAATGTGCCTTTCTGGTCGTGGACTTTCTGAATACCAAAAGTATTAGGTAAGTAGGTCTCAACCAGGGTACATCAGCCCTGAAGGTGGCTCAGCTGCCCAGTACTTTGGGACCCTCTGCTTTTCTCCTGAGCTGAGGAACCCTAGGTCCCAAGAAACCTCTTCATTCAGGCTCCCAGGGTTAGCATCAGTTGGTCTGTGTGGGAGCTGCAGCCATCACAGGAGCAAACCCTAGTAGTCATGGTCTGCAGCGGAGATCATCAGAGTCAAGGGATGCAATGATATTTTCAGCCTCCCCTTGTGAGCAATCCCCATCACTGTTGGGTGGTATTTCCAACCTGGGGAAACAAGTGACCAATGGTCTGGGAAGAGAAAGTGTCATAAAAGGGCCAGGGCCGCTGAGCCAGGATGACGGTAGCATGAGGCTCAGACACTCCTGGGAATCCATGAGGTGATGGAGACAGAACATGAGGGAAAGCAGGGCTACCGGCCAGCCAGGCCCAGCTTCCTCTTTCATGAGCTCATGGTCAAACCCAGGCCAGACCAGGAGGGTGCCAGCGATTGAGTGAGCTTGTTTTTTCCCTAACTTGGTTCTGAGTCACACAGGGCAACTTTCCTTCCCAGAAAACCGCCTCAAGGCTCACCCGCTGGCAGCCGGTCAAGCCCCAGTCCTAACACGCGATCCTCTCTGGGACTAAACGGGCTTAGCCGGGAGCACCCGCCCCGCCCCGCGAGGCCTCTCTGGGCGGAGCGTGGGTCTCTCCCAACCTTCAAAGAAAAAGGGCCTATGGCCTCTGCTTTGGAGGCAGCAGGGAAGCACGGCTGAATTTTGAACATACAGAGGAGACGCCAATGAATCACAGAGCTGCAGGGGAGGGAGGCCCCTAGGAGAGCCTTTAATCTTGAGCTCGACTTTACAGATCAACTCATGCGGTAAATACAGGGTGTCTGAAAAGGCAAGACAAAAAGGGGAATACTTTATTTATTGCACTTCCTGCCCTCCCCGCGCCATGATTATATGGGTTAGTCGTTCGTTCGGTCACGTCGGACTCTTTCGGTCGTGTCAGACTCTTTCGGTCGTGTCGGACTCTTTGCGACCCCATGGACTGTAGCCTGCCAGTCTTCTCCATCCATGGGATTTTCCAGTCAAGAATACTGGAGTGGATTGCCATTTCCTTCTCCAGGGGATCTTCCCGACCCAGGGATTGAACCCAGGTCTCCTGCAATGCAGGCAGACTCTTTACCACCTGAGCCACCAGGGAAACCCCCCATGATCATGGTTTGAGTTAAATTTCAATCATATACTCCAGTGCTGACACCAGAGCGTGGACAGAGCAATGTCCACATGAACAACTTTAACATTAATGAGTGAAAGAGCCCTAGGTTTCTAGCCTTTTCAGGCAGCCTTTATTTTTTTAAAACTTTATTTTTCATTGGGGTAAGCCGAACTGTGGTGCTGAAGAAGACTCAGGAGTCCCTTGGACAGAAGATCAAATCAGTCAATTCTAAAGGAAATCAATATTCTTTGGAAGGACTGCTGCTGAAGCTGAAGCTCCAATACCTTGGCCACCTGCTGGGAAAAAATGAGGGCAGGAGGAGAAGGGGGCGACAGAGGATGAGATGGTTGGATGGTATCACCGACTCAATGGACTTGAGTTTGAGCAAACTCCAGGAAATAGTGAAGGACAGGGAAGCCTGGCATGCTGCAGTCCATGGGGTTGCAAAGAGTCAGGCACAACTTAAAAGACCCAACAACAACAACAACAACAAAGCCGATTAACAGTGTTGTGATAGGTTCAGGGACTTGTATACAAGTATCCATTCTTCCCCAAACTCCCCTCCCATCCAGGCTTCAGACAGTGTGTATTGATCTAGACACAAACAGAATGATTAACAAGATGGATAAAGTGCTGCTCTCAAGGAGTTATAATCTGGTCAGAAGGAAATTGAGGTCAGAGGGAGGAGTCACAACCCTGGGGTCCTAGGAAGTCAGTGTTGGACCAGAACAGGGTTGCTGGGTTCTCTTCCCAGTTCCCCACTCTGAGCAGCCTTCGGGGAGGTTTGGCTGAATGGGACTGGGCTGGGCCAGGCCAGATTGGACTGCATCCAGGGCAGGGGATATCAAGGTGACCTTGGGGCTCCAGGCACCCCTGCCATCCTTTTGCATCAGGGAAAACTGATGCAGGCTATGGCCTGATCTTGGCCCTCCTTAAGGCCCAAATGAAACTCTTGGGGGTCATTTATTAAGTTGCTGGCAAGAACTCGCCACTGCTCCCTACCACCACCATGCCTCTGGCAAGAATTGTTCTGGCTAGAATGTGTGTGCGTGTGGGAAACAGGGGAAAAGTATTTACAGCCATCCTCATTGGCTGAACAGAAACTAGGAATGCAGAAGGCTTTGCTTCTCTGGGGAAAAGGAAGAGCTACAAAACCTGCTTGAAGTGGAGAGGGAGGGAAAGGTCGATGGAAAAAGAAGCTGTATCCTCTGATGATCTTGGTACCTGGAGGCTATTTTCCCATCCTGGTCTTCTGTTCCTGGGTTAGTTTATCACTGTCCATTTCAGCTCCAAAGCAGCCCCTCTTCCCTTAATCATAACAACGGCCACCATGGAAAAAGCACCTACATTGTGCCTATTAATTCAACCTTAAGGCCAATTGACCCATATTTCAGTTAAGGAAACATTGTCAGAGAAGTTAAGTAGCTGGCCCAGCACCTTGTAGTTAATAAGTACCAGAACTGGAATTTAAACCCACTTTCTTCCAAGGCCACTAGATGATAACATATTCTTTTTGCTACCACATGTTTCCCTTCTATCTTAAACCCATCTTAAGTAAACAAGGAGTTATTGAGCATCTACTAAATGCCATGCCCAGCTGAGAGGTTTCAGTTTTCATTCCCTGACACCAAGACCTTGGATCCATCCTTCTCCCCTTGTTTCTCTTTCTCAGAAGTTCCTATTTTCAAATATCTGTCTCCCTCTCCGCTGCCCATTCTGCTTCCTTCCCATTACCTTTTTCCCCCATTCAAGCTGGCGGTCAGCAGTGCAGCAGTATTCCAGTTGGGGCAGCAGGCATGATTCAATCTTATGTCAGTCATAAAGGGTGAGGGGCACAGCTTTGCCATCCACCAACTGTACAGTTATTCCTGATTCAATGGCAGGTCACCCTGAGCCACAGTTGAGCATTCCCCAACTTCCTCTTTGAAGAGGAAATGTAGGGGCCTCTGAAGAGACACAGCTGTATAAACAGAACCTCTGGGGGTGAGGACTAACTCCTCAGAGGAGATGGATTTAAGAATATTTATCAAGGGTTCCCTTAGTAAATTTATATTCCCTGTTGGTAGGAATGTAAATTGGTGCAGTCCACTATGGAAAACAGTATGCAGTTTCCTTAAAAAGCTGAAAATAGAACTGTATAATCCAGCAGTTCCACCCCTGGGTACATATCTGAAGAAAACAAGAACACTAATTTGAAAAGGTACATTCATTTCCATGTTCATAGCAGCCTCATTTACAATAGCCAAGATATGGAAGCCACCTCAGTGTTCATCAATAGATAAATGAATAAAGATATGAAATATATATGTGTGTGTGTGTGTGTGTGTATACTTAGCCATATTACTTAGCCATAAAAAAGAATAAAAGTTTACCATCTGCAATAATGTGGATAGACCTAGAGAGTATCATGCTCACTGAAGTAAGTCAGACAGAGAAAGAAAATACTCTGCTATCATTTATATGTGGAATTTAAAAAATAAAACTTACGTATATAACAAAACAAACCAATTCACAGATGTGGAGAACAGACTAGTGGTTACCAACAGAGAGAGGGAAAGGGGGAGGGGCAAGATAGGGGTTTGGAATTAAGAGATATAAACTACTAGGTATTAAATAAATAAATGACAAAGCTATATTGTATAGCACAGGCAAGCAGAGTCATTATTTTGTAAGAACTTTATTTTTATTTTTTATTGTTATTATTTTTTGGCTGTGCCATGAAGCATGTGGGATCTTAGTTCTCTGCGCAGGGAATGAACCCATCCCCCTGCAGTGGAGGTGTGGAGTCTTAACCACTGGACCGCCAGAGAAGTCCCTATAGTAACTTTAAATGGAGTATAATCTGTAAAAATATTGAATTACTATGTTGCACACCTGAAAACTAATAGAATATTGTACATAAAACATACCTCGCTTAAAATACATATATTTATTATGCTCCCACTAGGTGAAAGGTCAAGTACTTTCAAGAGAAGCCACAGAGGAAATGGGAGGATATGGTCCTATATTCTCGTGATGAGATTCCAGTGGGGAAGAGAGACAACAACAGAAAGTAAACAAACACATAAAATGATTCCCTACTGTGGTCAGCGTTAAGAAGAAAACAAACAAGAGGCTAAGAAAGGTTAGTGGGAAGTCAAGAACACACAGGTCAGAGGAGAGGAATGAAGGAACTTGGTGATCTTGGGCAGACGGGGAGGAAGTGAGGAGAACTGGAAATGGAAAGGGGCAAAGGTCTTTCCAAGGATTAGGGCAGTGAGAACCGGTGCAGCTGCTGGTCTCAGCCCCTGGCCCTTTTTGGCCTTAACTCATCCCCCAGCCCCCACCCCCGCACGGTCATTGACTTAATGATTCACTCTCAACCTTCCCCAGCTTCCTGTGTGGCGGGGAGGGGGTGGGGCAGAGCCCTGGCTCTCGGAGGATCCCAGGACCAGGGATGGGATTGGTTGGAATGAATGGAGAGCCATCTGGGCGCTCTGCTGCTTCTCTTGGTCCCATTCTGGCTTTGCCACAAAGAAAGGTCTCTCTGTGCCAGGAGGACACTGAGGATAACTAGGTCCAGCTGGAGCCCCAGATTCCAGATGTGGGAGGTAGTGCGGAAACAGGATCCTGACATCCCCTTCATTTCCCCTCCCCTGCATAATGCCCTGGAGAAATTTTCCATCATAAACAAGTTATGCATTCCTGACCTTGGGTGACTCTCCCCTTCTCCCACAAGCAGTTTTCTTCTAGCATCACTATCTCCTCCATCCCCAATTTATGTCTGTGTGAGCATGTGAGCCTGTCCACATGTATAAATCGTCGTGTATTGATGCTGATCCTTGTGTTGTGTGCATGTTGCCTTGGAATGAGGGCGTGGGTAGGTGGGTAGGCTCACTGTGCTTGGGTGTAAATGTAAGGTTGATGGCAGGTGTGAAAGGCAGGTGTGGGAAAGCGATATGTCTTTGTTTGTAGAGGAGGTGTGTTTTATACCTCATCAGGAAGAGGTGTGCAATGCTGGAAGTTTCTCATGTGTTTAGACAGGAGTGGTGGGTGTAAAATAAAGCAACCTATAAACCCAATACAGCAAGAATGTCTATTTATAGCCCAGTTTGGGGCTGTTCTGTTATTTACATTCACACACATTCTTGATTTAAAATGCCCTTAGGTGGTCCTTGTTTGCTGTCTGTGTAAGGCTTGTTCCAGCTTTTCTTAAGAAATTCATATGTGGGATTTGAAGGAGTGTATGCGTCTCAAAAGCTTGCGGTGATCCAGCCAGTGTATGTATACTATATGTGCCTTTTTAGTTCTGTGCTTTCATCTTTCATTTATCAAGATTAGTGAACAACTAGTACAAGCAAGGCACTCCGCTAGGCTCTATGAAAGACACAAAGACATGTGTGACACAGCCTCTGATGGAAGAGGTCAGTCAGACATTTGCTCATCTTGTGGTGGTGTTCAGTTGCTCAGTCGTGTCCCACTCTTTGAGACCCCATGGGCTGCAGCATTCCAGGCATCCCTGTCCTTCACCATCTCCTGGAGCTTGCTCAAACTCACGTCCATCGAGTCGGTGATGCCATGCAATGAATCTCATCTCATCCTCTGTTGTCCCCTTCACCTCCTGCCTTCAATCTTTGTGCACCAGGCAGGATATGATCTGGTACAAAGCTCTGTGCCAGAGGCACTTCACATCCATGGAACAGAGCTTTGGTCCCTTCATCCTCACACTGTTAGCACCCCAACTCTCCATGTTTCCTGACTCTAATGTTACCCATTTTATTACTAAAGTCTGGTCATTTTATGCTGGCAGTATCTCTTGAAGCCACCCCTTCTCTTGGTTTCCTGTGTCACAGCCCATCTCAAGCCCCTGTCTCCTTCTGCCGGAACCTCTCCAGTTGTACCGCCTCTGGCTCAGTGTCTCCTCATCCAGGGCATACTCATCCCACTCAGTTCCCAGCTTTGAACGTGCCCTCCTTTGATGTCATCCCGTGATCCACAAGCTCCATGGTCTATAGTCAAACAGTATCCCTTGGCCTGACAGCTAAGCTCTCACCACTAAGCTCTGCCTAGTTCCTTCCTGGCCATCGTCACTTTCCACTGTTGTCGAACCCAGATTCCTGTGCCTGATGCACAGTGAGGTCAAACAAACAGAAACGTCAGAGTTTGGGCAGAGAAAGGCTTATGGGAAGCACCAAGCAAGAACAACACCTCTCCACCAGAACTCCCCAGTGGTTTTCAGGGAAGAGTTTTTAAAGGCAAAATTTGGATCTACAAGGGCTATGTCATTCTTTTAAAGATTGTGCACTGTCTCCTTCCCTCCTGTTTTATGATGAGGATGAGATGGTGCCAAAAGCTGCAAGTGCCCAGACAGAGCAATATAAGCAGAGGACCTAAGGTGAGAAACAGCTTTGTAATTCCTGGGAGCTAAAAGGCCGAGGCTCCGGGTGGCTGGAGCATAGCAGAAGAGGGGAAGAACGGTTAAAATGAATTTGAAGAGGAAGAAATGAGATTTTGAAGATACTGTTAAGGAACAAAGCTCATGTTCACTAGCCCAAGGCACAGTGAGGCCACATAAACTGAAATGTCAGAGTCTGGAGCAGAGAAAGGTTTATTGCAGGGCCGAGCAAAAACACGTGGCTCTACACAAAAATCCCTGATAATTTTTTTGGGGGGAAGTTTTTATAGGCAAAATTTGGGGTGAGGGCTGCGGGGTGTGTGACTTTCTTCTGATTGGTTGGTGGTGAGGTAACAGGACAGTGCTCCTGGAATCTTGTGCTCAGCTGGAAGTTGCCATCCTCCAACTGAATGGGGTCCTCACTTTCCTGTATAAGGAACTAAGATACACTGATATGTATATTCCTTGAGGGAGCTTCTCCAGTGGCTCAGTGGTAAAGAACCCACCTGCAGTGTAGGAGCCACAGGAGACACGGGCTCAATCCCTGGATCAGGAAAATCCCCTGGAGGAAGGCATGGCAACCCACTCCAGTATTCTTGCCTGGAGAATCCCATGGACAGAGGAGCCTGGGGGGCTACAATCCATGGGGTGCAAAGAGTCGGACAAGACTGAAGCGACTTAGCACTCTTGTATATCCCACAAGGAAGAATCAGGACCTTGCTTTAACTGTAGTATTTTTTTCTTTTTTAATTGTTTGGCCACACCATGCAGGCATGCGGCATCTTCCCTGGACAGGGATCAAACCCATGCCCCCTGCAGTAGAAGCTCAGAGTCTTAAACCTCTGGACCCCTAGGGAAGCCCTGCACTGCTGTTTCTTGACTGCTCCTCCTCTGTTTCTGCACTCCCTTCCGTCCCTAATTAGTAACTGTTTGCATCTGCCCTTTGGAGCCCAGGGACGGTCAAGAGGCTGAAGCCTTTTTCCTAGAAACAAGAAATGGGGGACACAGAAAGGTTTTGGTCCCCAGGAGGGCCCCACAGGGTCCTGCTGGGTTTCACCACCACTGCTTGACGGGAAGCTTATCCTGAGATTGTTTTTCTTGTGATTCCCCAAACACATCCTGTACTTTTCCAGCTCAAGGCCTCTGCTGATTCCATTCCCCTTCTCAGTCATCTTCCACATCTGACTTTGTGTCATCCCACCCACTGTTCAAGGTCATCTCAAATGCCATGCTTCCCTGTTGCCTTGTCTGATTGATTAGATACACAGGAACAGTTGCTCTGTTGGGTTCCCCTTAGACTTACTCTTCCATTTTCTTAGAACCTCATGTGCTTGCTTTATCTGGCTTAACTCACTCACCAACACACATGCTGGAACCTAACCCAGTACTCAACAGTACCTTTTAACAGGGTGTCTGGCCCTGTTGGGGCTTCCCAGCTGGCACTAGTGGTAAAGAAACTGCCTGTCAATGCAGGAGACGTAAGAGATACAGATTCAATCCCTGGATTGGGAAGATCCCCTGTAGGAAGAAATGGCAACCCACTCCAGTATTCTTGCCTGGAGAATCCCATGGACAGAGGAGCCTGGCAGGCTACAGTCCATAGGGTTGCAGTGTTGGACACGACTAAAGCAATTTAGCGCGCACACACACACACACTGGCCCTGTTGAATGCTCAAAAGATGTTAAATTCTGTGTCCACAGCAGCTGTCTCTAAAGCAGTTATGAAAATTTGTCCATTCTCTCTTGCATTATTATCATCACCACAATATTTGCATAATGTCTCACAGTTTAAATGTTCTTCATATAAACTTAAACCCAGGTGGCTGCTAACATCTTGCTTTTGTATTTTGTGGTCCTCTGCACCAGCCATGAATGAACATTTCTGCACATTGTGGGGTTGCCCCTGTGTAGTCTGCACTTTTGTTCTGTGCATGTAACATGCATGTTGATGGAGAACAGATTACACCACTCCAAAATGTGCTCCTCTGTATTGTGAATTATTTGGAGCAATCAAGAGCCAGCAGAATCTCCCTTCACTGCTTAAATAACTGAGGTAGGGGGCCTGGTCCAGCGATAACATTCACCGGAAAAACTTACCTGCTCGGCAGGACAAACATCTCATTAGCAATCACCTGCTCTTTCCATCTTCCGGTGAGTTACCCACCCCCGCCTTCAAGCCCCAGGCCTCTTTCCCATTCCTTAGCTCAAGATGGCAGATAAGCTTCAATTGCCTGACTGCCTTTGAGTGGCAAGTTTTGTTGGGCTCCTGTTAAGTATGCAATTACATTTGTTTTCTCCTGTTAATCTGTCCTAGGTCAATTTAATTATTGAACCAGCCAAAGAAACTAGAAGAAAAGGAGAAATGTTTCCATCTCTACAACATGGTGTGTGCGTGGGCAAGCTAAAACAGGCAGACTTGTGTCTGTGTGTACTACTGTGTTTATTTCTCTTGGGCTTCTTGACTGTTTCTTAATGACTTCCCTCCTAGGCTACTATTTTCTGAGTCCCTACAAACGTGTGAATATGCACTGTAACTGTGGTTCCTAGACTCTGCTGGATCAGGATTGTAACAAAGGAGCCAGACTTCCTTATGTAAGCCTTCCAGCACGTCCCCAGAGATGGGGATTTGTGGCTGAACCGTCTCAAACTGTCTGTGGGCCCCTCTCCAGTTGCCACATGTCCTGACATGTACCCGCAGTCTGGGATTTCACCCGCCTCCACTCACAACTCACACACTCACAGCGCACACTTGGGGTGCCTACGGTTGGCACTGGCCAAGTCTCCGCCTCCTCCTTTGCTTAATCTTCGGAATTTCCAGCCGACCGTCCAACCTCTCCCAGCCCAGGGTGGAGTTGAGAAGGGCCCGCCCAGTTCTCGGGGTACATAACTAGCTCTGCGGGACTGCGGGGCCACTCGTCCTTCGGCTCAGCTCAGCGCACAATGTGTCACTCTCGCAGCTCCCTCCCCACCATGACCGTCCTGCGGGCTCCGACCCCGGTCTCCTCCACCAGCCCGGGACCCCGACGGGGCTCCGGTCCAGAGATCTTCACCTTCGACCCTCTCCCGGAGCCTGCGGTGGCCCCCACCGCGCGCCCAAGCGCCACCCGCGGGCACCGAAAGCGCAGCCGTAGGGTCCTCTACCCACGAGTGGTGAGTGTCGCCGAAGTGGACAGCCCCGGGGGAAGAGCAGGGTGAATCACTGGACGCCAGGGCCCCGATCTGACCTGTTCTTTTTGTCACCTCCCCTCAGGTCCGGCGTCAGCTGCCAGTCGAGGATCCGAACCCTGCCAAAAGGCTGCTCTTTATCCTGCTGACCATCATCTTCTGCCAGATCCTAATGGCTGAAGACGGTGCGTCTGCACCCCTGGCCCCGGAGGACACCTCCAGCGCGCCGTCCCCCGCGCCCACCGCTGCAGCCCCGGTCTTCGAGCCCCTTAATCTGACCTCGGAGCCCTCGGACTACGCTTTGGATCTCAGCACTTTTCTCCAGCAACACCCGGCCGCCTTCTAACCGGGACTCCCCACATCCCCCCAAAGAACCTGAAAAACCAAGAAACACTGGGTGTACCTGGTGCGCGAGAGAGTATCCCAAACTGGGACTCGCGAGGCAACTCGCACTCAGAACACTACGGCGGAGACGCCAGTCCGAGCCTGGGAGAGACAGGAACCGGCACGCCGAACCGGCACGCCGGGGCTAGGCCTGGTGGGGAAGGAGTGCGTCGTTAACTTATTTCTCATTGCTCCTAATAATATTTATGTGTATTTATGTGTGTCCCCTAGGTGATGGAGGGGTGTGTATAATATTTATTTTAACTTATGCAGGAGTGCGAGATGTGCACCTTGCTGCAAATGCAGGTCTCTGGGTATTTATTGGGCTCTGTGGGATTGGTGGAGGCAAGCACCCAGAACTGAGGGAGGCCGGGAAAAGGGATGGAGGAAACCCGGGTCGAGATGGCGCCCGGGCTGGGAGTCAAGGACGGTGGTGGGTCGTAGTGATACTCTCAGTCCTCCAGCATCTCAACTCGTGAGTCTGTGAAGATTCGGGGAACCGTTGAGAATAAGGTCCCTGGCCTTCGATCTCCTCCAAGTTGCCTCCAAGAGGGTGGCTGCGGGGTCGGTGGGCTGTCAGGAGGCTGGGGTCACCCCGTATGTTCTATGAACACAAATAAACCTGATTTACTGTCAGCAGTCATGTGAGTGTCTCTTTGCAAGCGACGGTTCCCCACTCTCCTAAAGGAGCCAGGAGGAGGAGGAGGAGCCGGCCGGAGAAGCCGCAGTCAAATCCCCAGGCGGTGCTCCTCCCAGGGTCCCTGAGCCCCTCCTCCCGGAACCACTGAACCCAGCATCTTGTGACCGGATGCTGTCAGTCGTTGCCCAGTCTGCGGTTTTTCTCAGTTCACAAGGGGCAAGTCCGACGTGAGTCAATCTCCCTCTCCCCGGGTGCAGGACTCACGGAAGTCACGTCGCGCGAGGCGGGGCGTGAGGCGGCCTGGGCGGAACTTCCGGCCCCAGAAGGGCGGCTGAGTGCGGTCTCCTCCCCCTTCCCGGGGCCTCTTCTGCAGCTCTCAAGGGCTGCGGATCTGAGCTGGGCCTGCCGGGAAAGAGGCGGGTCGGACGCCCGAGGCCGGGGGCGGGGTGGAGAGGGTGGTCCTCCGCGGGGGGCGGGGTCGCGTCTGCAGTAGCAACAGGGTGTGGCTGGGCTGGGGGCGCGGGCGCGGGCCCAGCTCCCAGGGGGACCCTGCGCGGGCGGCACCTGCTAGACTCCCAGGTCCCCTGCGCAGCCCCGCCCTCCCTGGGACCCCGGCGCGGCCGCCGCCCGAGTCCGGGAAGGTAGGTGGGGGAGGGGAGATGGAATGGGTTGCAGAAGAACAGGGAGGGTAGCGCAAGGGTCTGGAGACCTCTGCGGGTTCGGAGAGCTTCATATCACTGAAGGTGGGGCGCGGCAAGCGGCTGAGAATCACTGGCTGTCTGCGAAATTTCACAGGAAAAGCCTTAGCGCATCCCGGGCTGCGGAAGAGCCTGAGGCCTCGGCGTCTGCAAGCTGGGCGGGACTGACTGGAAAGGGAAAGAGTTCTCTCCTGTGGACTGAGCGGTGCCCCTTCGCATCCGCAAAGGCTTTCTCTCCCCCTTCTCCAGCTCCAGCCTGAGCCATGTTTTTCACCTGTGGCCCAAATGAGGCCATGGTGGTCTCCGGTAAGTATTGTTTTCTGCTCAGCCAGTGATCCCTCCTGCAGAGGTCCGTTCAGAGGAAGTCCCTGAAGAGGTCTCTTCCCTCTCTCCCTACCAGCTCCCCACCGCCAGACCTTCTGTCTACCCCACCCACGATGGCTGCATGCCACCCACTTGTGATTATTCCTTCCCTAGCCTTCCAAGGCCTGGACTGCCCCTGGCCCCTGTCAGCGTCCAGCTTTCCTCGTGGAGGTTGCTCCCACGCTCCCTGCCCAAGTTCTGTTTCCCATGTTACACCTCTACCGTGGCCACGGGCCACCACACCTCACTGCCCCCTCCCTTTTCAGGTTTCTGCCGGAGCCCCCCAGTCATGGTAGCTGGAGGCCGTGTCTTTGTCCTGCCCTGCATTCAGCAAATCCAGAGGTAGGTAGCAAGAAAACTGGGGAAAGGGAACCCCCATTTTCTCCTTTTCTTCCTTTTCATGCTGTCCACCCCTTCTCTTTCCCTTAGGATCTCACTCAACACACTGACCCTCAATGTCAAGAGTGAAAAGGTTTACACTCGCCATGGGGTCCCCATCTCAGTCACTGGCATTGCCCAGGTGAGGCTTTCAGAGCCTTTCCCCCAAAGCCCGCTCCCCAACCCAGCAACTTCTGTGTCCCCAGATGTTAAGAATCTTCCACAGCCTTCCCTACCTCTGCCTGTGGAGAAATTTCTCTGTGAGTCTCCACTTCTCCAGGGATCCCCAAGGCACCTGACTCTCCCTGCCTCTACTCTGGCTTCAGGAGGCCTTCCCCACACTCACCCCAACTCTGTTCTGGCTACAGGTGAAGATCCAGGGCCAGAACAAGGAGATGCTGGCTGCCGCCTGCCAGATGTTCCTGGGGAAGACAGAGGCAGAGATCGCCCACATTGCGCTGGAGACACTGGAGGGCCACCAGAGGGCTATCATGGCCCACATGACCGTGGAGGTGGGCCTGAGGGCAGGGAGAGATGGGGAAGGGATGCCAGAGTGCAAGGGGTCTAAGAACCCAGCTAGTCTGAGGAAGACAGTGCCCAGAGGATCTGAGCATGTCCCTTCCTTCTTCCTTCCATCCTGTTATCCCAGGAAATCTATAAGGACAGGCAGAAATTCTCAGAGCAGGTTTTCAAAGTGGCCTCCTCAGATCTGGTCAACATGGGCATCAGTGTGGTCAGCTACACCCTGAAGGACATTCACGACGATCAGGTAAACCTCAGCAGTTGGTCCTCCCTGCTTCCCTGCTCCCATCTGATAAACCTTCCCTCCTGAGGATTGTGACATCTGCATCTCTCTCACAGGACTATTTGCACTCCTTGGGGAAGGCTCGAACAGCTCAGGTCCAAAAAGATGCTCGGATTGGGGAAGCAGAAGCCAAAAGAGACGCCGGGATCCGGGTGAGAGAGCTGGGGGTTGCTTGGTCTCCGAGTGCTTTTTGTGGGTTGGGGGGGCTGGCGCGAGGGCCAGTGGAGCAGGGTTGGCAGAAGACGTAAATGAGGCCAGGCCCAGGGCGAAGATGGAGGAGCTTGGTGGAGAGCAGGCTCTCTCCCCAGGGCCTTCTTCTTCCTACTCTGATGCCCTACCCAATCTCTGCATGAACAGGAGGCCAAAGCCAAGCAGGAAAAGGTATCTGCTCAGTACCTGAGCGAGATCGAAATGGCCAAGGCACAGAGGGACTACGAACTGAAAAAGGCCGCATACGACATCGAAGTCAACACGCGCCGAGCACAGGCTGACCTGGCCTATCAACTTCAGGTCAGAGTCCCCATGCTGGCCCTGCAGCCAGGCTGGACTTCACCCTCTCCCCGTTCTCAGGCCGCCACTCTCTCTCATATCCTGCTCTGATCCCCTTATTCTGACTCTCGGTTTCTGACCCAACTCCTCCATATGAGGAAGATTTAAAAGACCTGAATGTTTCAGCTGAAAAGCAAAGAAAAGGCCTAGAAAGGGGGTGTAGATAGGGCTGATCACGGGCTTGGGACAGGTTGTGTCCTGGGCAAGGGCACCTGGATGAGGGGTGAACCAGAGCTCAGATCAGCCTGTGTTCCACTACCCAAGCTGTGCATTGGGCTGAGCGAATGGGTCTGCATCTCCCCAGAGGAACGGGTGCCTTTTTCTCACGGCGGTCCTCCACAGGCTCCCAGCAGCCCTGGCAATCACAGAGGGTATGAGGAGGGGAAACGTGGACTTGGGCTCTGAATCCCACAAAGTGACCTGTGGGGGCCTTGATAGTGCAGCAAAGTGTAGTTGATCCTTACCATTTGCAGATCTGGTATTTGAGAATTTGCCTCAGTGCTAAAATGTTTTAAGGAGCTAATGCTAAATGAGCACTGGTTTAAATGCTAAAAGAGCACTGGTTTCCCTAGTGCTCTTTGTATTGATGACCATTTGCAGACATGCACAGAGTGGAGAAAAATTTGAGTTGCCTGATAATGAGCCTCTCAGTTGAGGTTGAACAACATATTTTTCCCTTCTTGTTTTAGCTCCTATTCTAAACAATGTCATTTTCACAGTATATTCACTGCTACATATTTTGCACTTTTGTGCTCTATGTTGGTGATTTCACAGTTCAAAATGCCCCCAAGTGTAGTGCTGAGTGCCGTCTAGTGTTCCTAAGTCCAAGAAGACTTCATGTGCTTGAGGGAGAAAATACGTGTGTTAGATAAGCTTCTTTCAGGCATGAGTTATAGTGCTGTTGGATGTGAGTTCATTGTTAATGAATCAACAAATACATTACATATGGTGTCTTTACACAGAAATACATAAAACAAGGATATATAGGACTTCCCTGACAATCTAGTGGTTAATTAAGACTGTGCTTCCAGTGCATGGGTCGATCCCTGGTTGGGGAACTAAGATCCCACAATAAGTATTTGTTAATTCAATGTTTATGGCTACTTTATGAAAACCGGAACTACCATGAATAATGAGAATCAACTGTACTTTGAGACCTTTACCCAATATTATGAAATTCATTTTTGCCAAGGGTTGGTGCAGGCTGAAAGCATTAAGGGCAACACATCTTCAGTTATGATATTAAATCCCTCGTGGCTTGATGGGTACCTGAGTGTGGCATAGTACTTTGCTGCTCAAAGTGTGGTCTGCCTCCCAGCAACAGCACATCCCTGGAGAGCTTGTTATAAATACAAAATCTGAGGCTCCAGCCCAACAGACCAAATCAGAATCTGTATTTTAACAAAATCTCTAGGTGATTCACGTACACATTGAAGTTTGAGAAGCATTGATTTAGTGAAAACCACCAGCTTGGGTGGGAATTTATCTTCTCAACATGGCTTTCCTTGTCTGCTAATCAAAGGATAGCCCGGTTTGGGTTCTGTTCAACTTTTTTTTTTTTTTTCCTGTTCAACTTTTATTAGTTCCTCGTTTTGTGTCAGACTTTGTGCTAGGTGCTGGAAAAATAAGGATTTATTGAACCAAGATCCTTTAGGTGCCTACTATATGCTAGGCATTGGAGGTGAGTATATATAAGTATGAAAGAGATAGAATAAAAGTCCTGCCCTCATGGAGCTTTACATTATAATACATGAAACAACAAATAAGCCAATAAATATCTTAATTGGCTCTAATTAAGTTGTTTAAGTGCTATGAAGGAAATAAATCGGTGGTATTCTGTTGGAGGGGTACTCTATTAGGTTGGGGGTGATCAGAGAAAGCTTCTGTGAGGAAATGATAGATAAGATAACGCTGAAGATGAGAAAGAGCCAGCAATGTAAAGAGTTGCAAGCCAAGAACGTTCTAGTCCAGTGCTGTTCAAAGAGAACTTTCTGTGATGATGGAAATGCTATATATCTGTGCTGTGATGTTGAGCACTCATAATGAGGCTTGTGTGACGGAGGCACTGCATTTTAAATTTTTTTATTTTAGCTTACTTATATATGACAAAAGTGACTAGGTAGGGGACTTGCACATGCAAAGACTTTGATATAGGAAAGAGGGGTTGTGTCCCAGGAACACAAAGGAGGTTTCCGATCCAGCATGG